AGAACAAAGTAAAAGGAATGTTAAAATATCCCAAACAATCATTAACGTAAGTTCTCGAATAGAAACATAATAACATGCACATAAATATCCAAATACACTAAAATAATTTTTTCTGTACTCAGCTTTATGATTTTTTAAAAAATTTAAAAAAAACCCACATCCATACAAAGATGATAAAATTAGTCTAAAATAAATATACTCCAATAATAAGAATTGGATTATCCTTCCAATAAGAACTAAAAGTTTTTGAACCATCAATTTCTTCAAATACTAAATCATGGCAGAATCTTGTATCATCCAATATAAATTCATGAAGCATATTAAATATATTCGAAGAAGAAGGTATTTTTATATTACTGGATTTATCAGGATAAAATTCTATTTGATTTGTTTTAATCTTTAGTATGTATTTACTGACTTTGAAAACATTATATAAAAATATAATGTTAGGAAGGATTATATGATAAATAGAAGAAAAGAAATCATCACTAGATAAATTAGACATTAATATGGTTGCAGCTTTCTTTATCATTGAAAATCTTTTAAATTTTGTCTCAATAGGTTTAGTATACTCAATTTTTAATTCTTTTATATGATTTTTCCAACATTCAGGTAGTAAATTATACTTTGTCTCTGATTCATCAGTTAAATTTAATTTGATGATTTTTATAAAGAAATCTGGATATGTCATTAATTTTTGTTCTTTTATAAATCCTATAGATGCAAAATATTTAATTGCTTCTTCTTTGGTTCCTTGAAATACAACACTTCCATTAGTCATCATAATAAACACATCAAATAAATTAAAAATATATTCTGATGGCTGTTGTATTGATAAAAGTATTGTTTTACCAAAATTAGATAACTCTTTAATTATAAATATTATCTTTTGTGCTGAAGAATTATTTACCTCAGTAAGTGGTTCATCAAACAGGTAAACAGAAGCTTTGGTAGTTAAATTTGTTGCAATTGCTACTCTTATTTTCTGACTCGCTGAACACTCTTTAAATTCTTTTTCTTTCTCATCTGTCAAATACAATTTATAAATAATATCATTTGCTACTTCTTCTGAGTTTTTA